TCACAACATTTGTCTAAGGCTATCAGCTCAGATTCCATCGTGGATCTAGCTATCAAGGTTTGTTTCGAGGATTTCCAAGAAACGGCTGCACCGGCTAACGTAAACACGTAGCCACTCGTGGACTTAGAGTCCTTCATATCCGATATCCAGTTAGCGTCGCTATACCCTTCAAGTACAGCAGGATATCGTGTATAGTGCAGTCCCCAGTCACGAGTATACCTCAAGTATCTCATAACTCTCACTATTGCCTTCCAGTGCGTATCACTGGGGTTACTCGTATATCTACTGAGTTTGCTAACCGCAAAGGCAATATCAGGCCTGGTACAACTCATTAGATACATCAAACTTCCAATAATCCTAGTGTATTCTACTTGAGAGATACACTTTCCACGATTTTTGGACAGATGAACGCTAGTATCTAATGGAGTCCTAGCCACTTGATAATCATCCTTGTTAAACTTTGCAAGGATTTTATCAACATAATGAGATTGGCTTAACACGAGACCATCAGGTCTTCTCACGATTCTAATCCCAAGGATTAAATTTGCCAAACCCATATCTTTCATGTCAAATCTCGAATTTAACATGTCCTTGGTAGATTTGATCATTCGATCGTTACTACCCACGATGAGTATATCATCCACATATAAACAAAGAATGACATAACCGTCTATCATTTCCTTAACGTAGACACACTTGTCACTTTCGTTTATATTGAACCCATTGGTTAACATCGCATGGTCAAACTTCTCGTGCCACTGCTTAGGCGCTTGTTTTAAACCATATAACGATTTAACCAATTTACAGACTTTCTTTTCTTGGCCCGGAACCGCAAAACCCTCAGGTTGTTCCATATAGATTTCTTCATCTAACTCGCCATTCAAGAAAGCTGTTTTCACATCCATTTGATGAACTTCCAAATTCCGCAGTGCGGCTATGACAAGTATCATCCTTATGGAATTTATTCTCGTTACGGGAGAATACGTGTCGAAGTAATCAAGGCCCTCGCGTTGCCTGTAACCCTTAATTACAAGCCTAGCCTTATACTTCTCAATGGAACCATCAGGTTTCAACTTCCGTCTAAAGACCCACTTGGATCCCAAGGGCTTACTACCCGGAGGAAGATCAACCAGTTCCCAAGTGTGATTCTGTAGGATAGAATCCACTTCACTCTTTATAGCCTCTTTCCACATTGGTCCTTCCGTAGAAGTCACAGCTTCTACATACGTTTGAGGCTCGTTTTCTAACAAACATGTCAGAAAATCATGTTCATTTTCTAGTAAACAAGTTAGAATATGCGTATCACATTCTAACATGTACGTCAGAAAATCTGGACCAAAGGATTTTTCAATCCTAACTCGCTTGCTACGTCTAGCTTCGAGCTCGGGTTCTATTTCAGACCCTCCACTGCCGTTATCCACAGCCTCGTCGAATGTTCGTTTCGACGTACTAGGTCCCTCACTGGACCTACACGGAAATACATCTTCAAAGAACGATGCATTCCTTGATTCAATTATCGTGTTCTTATGTACGTCCGGATTATGGGACTCGTGTACTAAGAACCGATATGCACTACTGTTATGTGCATAGCCAATAAAGATACAATCCACCGTCTTAGGACCTATCTTTATTTTCTTAGGTGTTGGAACCAAAACTTTGGCAAGACACCCCCACACTTTCAGGTACTGGTAGGAAGGTTTCCTACCGTTCCACAGCTCATAAGGAGTCTTATCGAGCTTCTTGCGGGGAACCTTATTTAAAAGGTAGTTACTTGACAAAATCGCCTCACCCCACATACTTTGAGGTAGGCCCGAACTTATCAATATCGCATTCATCATCTCTTTCAATGTGCGATTTTTCCGTTCGGCAACACCGTTCGATTGAGGTGCGTAAGGTGCCGTACGCTCGTGTATGATACCTACACTTGCACAGAAGTCACCAATAGGTGCTTCGTACTCACCACCTCGATTGCTTCTAACCTTCTTAATCCTCCGATTAAGTTGGTTTTCCACTTCATTCTTATAAAGAATAAATTTATCGACGGCCTCGTCTTTGCTCTTAAGCAAATACACATAGCAGTATTGTGTGCTATCATCGATAAACGTGATAAAATATTTATTACCACCGCGCGATTGTATTGATCTAAAGTCACATACATCGCTATGAACCAACTCAAGTGGTTCCGTTTTCCTTTCAATCGATTTAAAAGGAATTCTCGTTTGTTTTGCCTCAACACAAATCTCACATTTGTGCTTATCAACTTGAAATGCAGGAATATGGTCCAAGTTAATTAATCTACGTATAGAATTAAAATTAACATAACCCAGTCTACCGTGCCACAAACACGAAGACTCAAGTAAGTAGGCTGAATTAATAACACTTTTATTAATCGCGGTTATTGCATCAAGCTTAAAAAGCCCATCTAGCACATAACCCTTGCCTACGTACGCTCCTGATTTCGACAAAACAACCTTATCTGACTCAAACACTGACCGGAAGCCATTCTTGTTCAACAATGAACTAGAAACTAAGTTCTTTCGTAGCTCCGGTACGTACAAGACGTTGTTCAGAGTCAGCTCTTTCCCAAAGGTCATTCTGAGAATTACTTTGCCCATGCCTACCACAGTAGACTGAGCAGAGTTTCCCATCCATACCTTCCCACAATTAGTCGTCTCGAAGGTAGTAAACAACTTATGGTTGGAACACATATGTCGGGTCGCACCCGTATCAATGAACCATTCCGTTTGGTTCGAACCAACCAGGTTTACCTCGGTCACCATTGCCGAGAGGATGATTTCGGTCTCATTCTGATTGACCCGCACCACGTTAGATTCCGAATAATCATTCTTCCTCTTAAGTGCTTTACAATCAGTCCACTTGTGACCCACAATGCCACAATTGAAGCATTTTCCGTAGAATTGCTTCTTGAAGTCCTTTCTGCCCAAAGGCAACAAATGGATACTAGGTTCCACTTGAAAGGCTTCACTCACGATCGTTCCTTCATCAACTTGACTTAGGACGATCCCGGAATCCACCATCTTGTATTCAAGTAATCGGCTAACGACAAACATTTTTGCCTTAGCGTCATCACTATTATACTTCAGGTCCAAAGATTCCCACAACGAGTCACACAAACCATTCAAAACATAGTTTAGGCATAGGAAAATCAAATATTTCCAAATCCGTACTATGCTAACAGTTTGAGCGTTAGACTCGTGTTCCTTTCCACTAGGAACCTTCTCGGTCAAGAACCATGACATGCCGAGAATTATTAGGTTGTACAACATTTTAAGTTGCAACCCTTCGAAATTCAACATCTTGAATTTCCATGGTCTTTCGACCAATCCACAAGGTACCGTCCCATGTAGCTTCATCGTAGGGATATACCCTTTGATGCCACCACCGGTCTCCGAACCAAAGTTCACCGGGGTTTCGGATTGTGCAACTACATTGCCGATCCAACCAATTGAATGTGCATCGTGAGCAACATTCACAGTTCCACAACTCGTGGAATCCATCGATTTAATCACCAAAAAAAATAATCGGTTTTAAGATTGTTGGATATTGGTGAATAAATCGATACACAAAATATATATATAAAATATATATTTGTCCCAAAAAAATGGAATTTAATTTATAGAAAATTAATTCCAACCAATTTTGGTACGAAACCAAAATTACATATATATATACAACGTATATATATTAACCAAAAAGGGATTTATTTTATCAAAATAATCCCACCACAACTAGTACGAAACTAGTACACGAGACTTAATTTCCACGAAATTAATCCCACCACAACTAGTACGAAACTAGTACAAGGATTTAATCTATCCGAGATTAATCCTACCACTTGGTCCGAAACCAAGAACAAAAAATAAGCAAGAACGGGTTTCTAACTTGAGGTTTCAACCCAACGCGAAGAAACAAGAAGAAGCAGAGGAAGCCCGAGTCGTGTGTACACACACTCTCCTTAAAACCGATTCGCCACCTCCCGAGGGTGCTAGGATCGTTGTGGCGTCAGTCTCCCAGGATAAAACGGACTACGACTTTGGCGTTCGAGCACTCCAACCCAAAGCCCGGCGAACTAGAACACATGTTGAGCACTCCGACGTTTTACGGAAGTGTTGGTAGAATCTCTTTGCAAGAAACAACTTTTGAGAGAAGATGAGAGAAAAATATGATTTTTCAAGTTCAAAAATTCGACAAAACATTCTACCCAACACATAGGTTTTTATAGGGGAGAGAGGAGTTAGTAGCCCACTAAATGGCATATTAAACCAACATAAATCCACGATTTAATTATTGGATAATAACGTTTGAAACGGTCGTAATTATTATCGTAATAATTCCAACGGTCACGAACTTAATACGCGATTAATTCGTACCGACCACAACGACCCGTTTCAAAATATCTGAGTGACCGAGAAGTCCGTACAAACCCGAAGGTTTAACGAATTGGGATTGGAAACCACACCCGAGTGGTCCACACGCACCGAAACGGTGTAGCACGAATCAATGCATATAGCATTTGATTCGTGCACACCGAATCCACAGCACGAAAGGAGCTCACACGAAATGAACTCATAACTACATAACTATATGTTCATAATTATTGAATCTCTATTTTCATAATTACATAACTATATGTTCATAATTATGTTCACAACACTATGTACATAATTATTGAACTATATATTCGTATATCTCCGAAAGGAGTTCATTCGAAAACAATCGGTTAGAGTCTATTCACCCCCCCCCCCCTAGACTCTCTCTGACCCTACCGGGACCAATAAGTGGTATCAAAGCGGTTACGTTGTACGGTAAACGTTTTGCGTTACTGCCTGGTAGATCCCTTTTTGCAAAACTTGCATAAATAAAACTGTTGTTTTTTATATTTGCAAAATTTTTCTTAAAGAAAAATAGAAAGAGAACATTCTAACCATTCTAGGCCTCTTGCCTTTAATCTTTCAAAGTTTAATGACTGGAAAGTAAGAATGCAGGCACATCTTTCGGCTATTCATGACAAAATGTGGGACGTGATAAGCGAAAGTCCTATCGTCGTTATGATGGTGAACACTGAGGCAGCTGCACAAGGAGCAGATGGAGAAGCCATGATACCTAAGCCGAAATCTCAACTCACTTCAGATGAGAAGGCTCGGGCAAACCTCGACAACGTTGCACTAGACATTCTCTATAAGTCTCTAGACGACTCGTTGTTCCCTAGAGTACGAAAATGCACCACAGCAAAGCAAATCTGGGATACTCTCATGAGTTTAGGCGAAGGAGACGAACAGGAGAAAGATAACAAGCTCACCGTGGCCATGAAGAAGTTTGAGGACATCGAAATGATGCCAAGTGTAGCCATCACCGATATGGAGCTCAAATTCACAAAACTCATGGGTGATCTCACGGATCTTGGAAAAGAGCCAACTGAAAAGGAGAAGAACTTAAAGATTCTTCGAGGGCTTCCAAAATCTTGGGATATGAAAGTAACAGTCATGAGAGATCACAGAGACATGAAGACAACCAGCACGAGTAAGATCTTCAGCGATCTCAAAGCATAAGAGTTCGAACATGAACCAAGGGAATCTGAAGAATCCGAAACAAGGAATATAACCCTGGTGGCCAATCAACAAGCATCAACATCAAACAGGTCGAATTCTAACTCTTGTGAATTCTTATCTAACGAACAATATGCTTTGTTTCTACGTAAAATGAAAAGGTTCATGAGGAAGAATAACTTCAAAGTCTATCAAAGATCATCCAACCGAAGGGAATACGAAAGATCTCCTCAATCGTCAAAACAAGAGACAATGGATTCACAGATGCTATGTGTAAGTGTAAAAATGTTGCACATTTAAACCTCTTAATATTGGCCTAGATTAGTTGTCAAAGTAGTTCTGAATTAGTTGCTGGATTAGTCACACTGCCTGGAGTTGTAATTTTGCATTTCCTCATTTTTAATCAAATTAGCTGGATTAACCAACTGATGAAAAGGACTGACTGATTCAACGATGAAGTTAGTCAGTAAGGCAGATCATTGAGATGTTTATAAAAAGAGATAACGGCACAAAGCAACACACAAGATGTTTACCCAGTTCGATACAATGTGTATCTACGTCTGGGGGACGATCACATAGGTGATGCGTAGTATATTTGCAAACAAATAATTCTCGGAGTACGAGTTATCGATCCACAGGGAAGTGGTTGTATCAAGCACTAGTTACTAACTTATTCATTAGAGCTAATCCTAACAATTACTTAGATGATTGATTGACATAAAATAAATAAAATAAAACAGAGGTTCAGGAGTTTGAAAACAATTAGAGAGATGTTGAGATTCATGGGATTCAAGTATTTAATCACCTAGTGCCAATTATCGTTCGCAATATTGAGTTTGGAATTAAGATTTGTGTGGGAATGCATAGTGGAATCGAATTACTCCCGTAATCTCTATCCCTAGTGAATTTCCACTCCCGTGGCTTAAACACCCAATAAGATCGAAGATCAGCATTCAATTATTCCTAATTACTACCATCTCCCGATTGGCAACAATCTAGAATAAACTTCCCCTAATAAGTTCCCCTTTCCCAAGGTCCAACCATTAGGTGTAATTGTGTGTACCCTAATTTATGCCCCAACTCCCATTGGTGACACAAACATGGCTATGAAGCTAGTAACTATGGCCATTAATTACAAGCATTAAACAATATTATCACGATTGCAACACAAGTATTAAACCCAAATAATAATATATTAAAGAAACTGAGAGCTCAGGCACATAGGTTCATAAACACTTTTACCGAAGAATCTCTAAAGAATTTAGCCAAGCATGACTAAATTATACATAGCAAATATAAATAAAGAATTACAAATCATCAAAAGAGTACAAGAATTAACCAGACGATTTTCCCAAATCTCCCTAGTCTTCTTCTTGCTTTCCAAGACAACTTGTGGCTCTTGATTTCTCTCCTTCTTGTCTCGAAGAATCTCTGAATTCTCTCGGTCTCGTCATTAGGGTTGAGGAAGGAGGGATTTTATAGTGGGTACAAAGTTGAGATGAAATAGGAATCTTGTACAAAATTGGACTCAAATTATAATTCCTATATTTAAATATTAAAGCTTGAAATTGAATTGGAAGTTGAAGATGCTGAAGCCAACGCCCTTTTTGTAATTAAGCCTACGACTTCGCGCTTCGCTCGACGCGTCGAGCCAAGTCTCGACGCGTCGAGACCGGCAGGTCTCGATCACAAAAACATTATGGAAATTTTCGACGCATCGAATCTTCTGGGACTCGAACTTGTCCAAAATTGCTCCAAACTCATCCTTGAACTTCCCTTGCTCATAGAATTGACCTACAATGGTTCAAAAACACTAACAAACACCGTAAAACATTCAAAACAAGTGTGAACCATAATTAAATGATAATAGCAAGGAAAATATGTATTAAATAAGCCAAATTAAAGAACTAAAACACTAAGATGATTCAAAATAACTATAATAACAAGCAAAGATGTGATAACATCACCCCCTCACACTTAAGCTTTTGCTTGTCCTCAAGTAAAACTAAGGAATAAAATCACAAGTCAAAACATACAAATTACTCATGCTCTCTCTTGCACAACCTTTCAAACCACCAACCAACTTGCTACAAAACAACAAGCTTCAAGAATCAAATTAGTTTGGCACATAAGAGACCCATTTCCAAGCCAATAACCAAGCACCAAGAATTTAAAGTATGTGAGGATCAAGTGTGGACAAATACTCAGTTGAGATTATGCAAGACAAGGCTCATGAATGAGATCCCATAGGCTTACCCTTCATAATCCCCTAGATCAAATCTAAGAATTCATGCTAAGATCAAATAGGACTTTATTTAGATTGTAATGGGGCTACGGGTGATAGCTAACAAAGAAGTGGTATGGAAAAATTAATCAAAAAGAGAGAATGTCACAATTTATCTAAACTTTTCAAAATTTGGAAGAGATGAGATAATCATAATTCCAAGGAGCAAATTTCTTTTAAGAACTTAGCAACTCTTTGGTAAAGAGGGGATCCAAACTCAAAAACTTTCAATCTTTTTTTTTTTCATTCTTTTCTTTGTCTTTGGACTTCTTTTGGATATAGCAAGATAATTTTAATCCAAACTTTCATGACCTCCACACCTGAACATTTGTAACACTAGCTGCTTTTTTTTTCGTAGCACAACTCCATAAAACTCTTCTTACGGAAAAGATAAAGATAAAAGTTTCTTTCTCTCAAGGGTGGAAGGGAAATATTTGGCCACGGGCTAAGGGTTATAATAATGGGGTAAATCAAAGAAAAACAATCACAAAGAGGGGATAAGTGCTTAGCACTTATTTGAACAAACAAAAGGCACAATGGGGATACGAAGGATAAAAATATATATAGGGACAGCTTTAGAGGGTATGGCTAAACAAAAAATGGCCTAAATCACTTCAAAACATGCAAAACTTAGACATCACTTAGGGAGTAATGAGGCAAGTTCTAGCAAAACACCCATGACCGGAATCTCACATAAGCCTTCACTAGCAATGCAAAACACAAGATCAAGAATTAATCCAATTATTAAGTGGTTAACAAAGCTATTGGCAAGGGAGTAGATCAAATATGTGTTACACCTCAAATCATCCATCACAAATTGAGATGCAGCAAGCACCACTAAAACAAACCACAAACCAATAAGAGAGAATAATTGTAACTGCATGCTAAGACAAGTAGCTTATTCACCAAAAATAGCATATGAGTCATCCAAGCAAAAGCAAAAATTTTAAAAATTTAGAAATATCCCCAAATTAATGATTCCTCCCCCTCACACTTAAAACTTTGCATCATCCTTGATGCAATATAAAAGAAAAGTAGAACAAGAGAAAAGAGAAAACTAAAAAGCAATAAAATAATCACGAACTAGAAAATAATAAAACTAAATAAGACGAAACTAGAAAGCAATAAATAAATAGGGAAAGTAATAAAAGATAACATGGGGTGCCTCCCATGAAGCGCTATATTTAACGTCGTTAGCTCGACGTTACCTCTCTAGCCATCAAGTGATTGGAGAAGAAAAATCCCCTTCTTTCCATCAACTTTCTCTTCTAAGTATTTCTTCAAGTGGTGTCCATTTATAAACTCTCTTAAGCTCGAACCCTTCACGTCATCATGTAAGGGACCACATTTGCCCGAATCAAGAATTATGCCTCCATTCTCTTTTCCTTCTTTTTCAACACTCTTTTGTTCAACAAGTAATGAGAGTCTCGGATCATTCACATGAACCAGCAAGTATTGGGAATCATTGGATATATAGATAGGCAAATGTGTGCCATTATCCTTAAGAACTCCAATGCCTCCCAAATTCAAAATTTCTCTGAAGTTCTCTCCAAGGGAAGTGTTCTCCATTGGTGAGACATCCTCATTCAAATCATGTGCTCCATTAAGAATTTCCTCATCTAATGGGCAACTCTCTATATGTTCCTTGCCATCATTACCTTGCAACTCTACATTTTCCTCCCAGCTTGGTGTCTCCATCTCAATGCATTTATCAAATATTTCTTCATCTTCCTTTCTAAGATCCTCTTCATCCTTTTTATTTCTCTCAACTTCATGACCTTCATTTGGCAAGAGCAACTCTTCTAGAACCTCTCCATTAAATGAATCTTGAAGTGGCTCTTGAATTGTCAAATCTTGCTGTCGAGCCATCATGTGATCGAGTCGAGCATTCATGCGATCAAGTTGAGCATTCATGTGATCTTGTAACTCCAGATATTTCGAGCACAATTGCATTAACTTGGTCTCTTTGGACTTCATCTCAATTATTTGGTCAAGTGATTGACAATCTTGTTGAAACTCTTGGTACGGCAACTCTTGAGCTCGCCCTTGATACTTGTAATTGGGATCCATGATAAAGCAATTCTCCGCCTCATGAGATCCACCACATATCATGCACCGTGAGGGTTGTGGAGTAGGTGGTGTGCATCTTTGATAAGTAGCTTGACTCATGTTGGCACAAAATCCTTGAGTAGGTTGTTGAGGGATATGGTTGGTGGGGTTGAGCATGTAACAATTTTCCACAAAGTGATTCCCACCACAAAATGAGCACCATTGGGGTTGTGATGTTTGATATGAACTTTCTTGATAATATCCTTGACTAGAGTTGGCAAAATTTGAGAAAGGGAATTGTAGTTCCATTCCTCCATATTCTCGATTCATATTCCAACTCATCTCATAACCTTGAGAAGGAGGGTAAAACGGTGGCATGGTTCCTTGGAATGCATATCTATCCATAAACTAAATCACACTCAAAACAATGAACTTGTTATGGGTTAGCAAAATAAAATAAAATAAAATAAATAAAAATAGACTAGTCTCCTAGAATAAAGATTTCACTAATGTTAATACTAGAAACACCACTTCCCTGGCAACGGCGCCAATTTGATGCGTAGTATATTTGCAAACAAATAATTCTCGGAGTGCGAGTTATCGATCCACAGGGAAGTGGTTGTATCAAGCACTAGTTACTAACTTATTCATTAGAGCTAATCCTAACAAT